AACCAGTAGGTGGCAGTAGTGTTCTTTGACAAACATGGATGCCTCCAGTAAAGCACATTCACATGAAAATTACTCTGAATTAAAAACACTGATCATTTATTGAACAGGATGGAATAATTTCGTATTTAAAGAACTTTAAGAAGTTTGAAGTCTCAATATGAGTGGATTTTCCTTTAGATAGCCCTGTAGGTCAGCTGCTCTGGCTTTAAAATCTGGGGCGTATTGAGCTGTGAGGTTTCTGTGGTTTCCATTAAACTCTGACAGCTTCATCCAAACCTAATGAGACGCCTCAGTAACACCTTTGCTTCTGAGCATTGAGCTTCAGCCTCATCGGTGTTAATAAGCTCTACGCATGTCAATAATTCCGGACCAGAACCAGAACTTCTGTCTGAGGATAAAAACCCAGTAGAGATCATGTCTCCCATTCCCCGGGTTCACTGGTTTCACTTTTCGAGATCCACAGGCCGCACAGCAAAGTATTACCAGAACAGAGCATTAGTGGGGCTGAGTTTAGATGCTCTATCTGTTACAGCTCTAGGAAATGGTTTAAATCTGGATTATATATTTCTACCAATAACATTAAGGCTGGTCCTAGACAAACACCTGGTGGCAAATACAAGATGTAGTTCTTTCAGTCTAATATCAGCTTATTCCCAAAAAGCACTGGGGTCTCTTTCCATTCCTGGGTCACCTGCAGATACTCAGCCTTCATACATGATGCTTGTTTCCCTGGTTACTGTCTGCCCGCCCCTACTGGGTAGAACTAGAGCTCCTCCATTAAATCTTACTCACTTTCAACTACATTCTGCTGCTCATCTGTTGCAGAGCGCTTTAAAAATAAAAATAAAAAGTAGATTATTGTTTGTATTGAAAACTGGATAAAGCGGCCGGCCTCCTTCACTGTGGGCTTTTCCAACCATCCGTCTCCATCTGTCTCTTCTCCCCAGATCTATCAGTACATACAGAGCAGGTTTTACCGCTCTCCTGAGGTCCTTCTGGGAATGCCGTATGACCTGGCTATCGACATGTGGTCTCTGGGATGCATCCTGGTAGAGATGCACACAGGAGAGCCTCTCTTCAGCGGCTCCAACGAGGTAAGTGGATGAAACAGTCTGAACCTTTTCTACTGCATCATAGCTTCCCTCCACCAGACTGAGCCTTAGTGTTCGTTCACCTGAACAGGTCGACCAGATGAACAAGATTGTGGAGGTCTTGGGGGTCCCACCCAGCCACATGCTGGATGCAGCTCCTAAAGCCAGGAAGTACTTTGACAAGCTGTCAGATGGCTTATGGACCGTGAAGAAGAACAAGGATGTCAAGAAGGTGAGAATGGTTTTGATCCGCCTTCCCTCCCAAAGTTTATTATGTTTATTTATCTAAATATTCACATATCTCAGATTCAATTCCGTTTATTTCTATAGCGCCAATTCACAACACACGTCATCTCAAGGCACTTTCCAGTTCACATGATCAGACTGATTTAAAGTTTTCTGTCTAAGGAGAACCAGTTGATTGCATCGACTCAAAGACAATGCCTCGCACTAAGCATGCTTTTAGAGACAGTGGAGAGGAAAAACTCCCTTCTGACAGCTGTTGTTTTATGAAATAGAAAAATACTCTAGGAGGAAAATACTATTTTTCAGATTCCAGAGTTGAAGTCATGTTGTTAGTTTAGCTGCACAGCTTTGAATCAGGCCATGATAGCAGTGGTTCTGACCTCTGATGGATCATCACAGTCTGATTATTTCAGATATGCATCCTCAGAGGCTTCTGGGTATGAGCTTAGTTGCTGCTGATCATCATCCTTGCTTTAGGACGCCATAAGGACTCAACCATCCGTATCTTAGTAGGGCTGAAACAGTTAATCAGATCGATCGAGTTAGTGATCAATTAATCGCCAACTGGAGTATAGTGATCCTTCTCACCAAGCATGCTTATAGTGACAGTGGAGAGGAAAAACTCCTTTTGAACAGGAAGAAATAAGCAGAGATACAAAAGGCGGCCCCGTCCAGGAAACACAAGGCCAGGCAGACGAACTCCGAGCCAGCTCCCATGTCAGAGGATGAAGAGAGCACCTGATTTAATTAGGAAAAAAAGTCTTCTTTTAGGAACCTTTGACTATCCGATTATTAATCATTGCCAAATGCTAAAATAATAGCTGCTCTGTTATCTAGAGAGGAAAATATTTTAGCATCTAAAGGTTTAGGCTGAACTTCTGTGGAAGTAAAATCCCTTAATGTGTCTGTGTTCTCCAGGAATATAAACCTCCAGCTACACGTCGTCTTCATGAGATTTTAGGTGTAGAGACTGGAGGCCCAGGAGGGCGGAGGGCAGGAGAGCCAGGACACGCCCCCTGCGACTACCTGAAGTTTAAAGGTATGTGATCACATGGATTCAAAATGCTGCAGAAGGTAAACTAAAGTGGGAGCCTTTCATTTTAAAAGCTGTTTTCATATATAACCATTCTTACTGAGATTACTTTAAAAAAACTTTTAAAAAATGGGTGGTGCAGACTTCAGCATGATTATTTAGAACAGTGGCTCCTTTTATTAGGATTCTGATCAAACCAAATGTAGGTTCCATCCAAAGCGGTCATGCATATGATGGTGCTTTTTTTCCTTCTTCCAGATCTGATCTTGCGCATGCTGGACTACGACCCTAAAAGCCGAATTACGCCATTTTACGCCCTGCAGCACAATTTCTTCAAGAAAACGACAGATGAAGGAACCAACACGAGCTCATCTACATCCACCTCTCCTGCCATGGACCACTCGCATTCAACCTCCACTACTAGCTCTGTTTCTAGCTCTGGTAAAAGTCCACACACTCTGCCTGACCTCTGGTGCAGGAATGACTCCATGAAATAGCCACAGTTCTGCTGCGGCTGAGAGGAAAATGTATGAAAATCAGATCCTGGATGGAAAAGTTTAAGCAGAATCAGGTCTCTGACATAGATCCATACAAAAACCAATCAGATACTTTAAGAACGCATTAATGCTGCTTTTATCTGTCGCCACCTCTTTTACTAATCAGCAGGGCTGATGTTTCCATATTTCTGCTCATGTTGCTATCAGCTGGGCTGCATGTCGGCGTCTCCGCTGGTGGTTTATGAACAGCCAGAGGAAGCTCTGAGGCTGCCTGGCTTCACTGGTTCAGGACAGAAATGTTTTCAATCAAGCTAAAAGATGGATGTGGTTTAATGAAGACGACAATGACCCTGATGTGAGTCCTGTTTGTTTGCAGGTGGCTCCAGTGGTTCTTCCAATGACAACCGTAACTACCGTTACAGCAACCGCTACTACAACTCTGCTGTCACCCACTCAGACTATGAGATGACCAGTCCTCAGGTAGGCATGCTGCAGCCATGGCTAGCTAAAAGCTATCAGCTATCCTGAAAGAACAGCTCAACCACAACTTAAAGCTCTTCTTCAAAGGAAAACCCCAGTCAGCAAGGAATAATCAATGGATCATTATTTATACCTTAAACTAAGACATTTGTGGTGATTTTATGATTTTAGCGTTAATCAGTAAAAAAATAAAAACATTAAATTTCGTTGTGATCACTGAGTCTGGGAGCGACCATCTTCCAGCAGTGACGTCACGGTGCGGTAAGCCTAGCG